GGCTGCTTCTTGCTCTGACTGAGGGCTGCTGGGAGCAGGGAGTGGGGCTTGTTGCATGTGCCCGCCCCCTGGGCTCTTTACTGCCGGAGCTCCGCTCCTGTGCGCTCCTGCAGGAAATGACCCCTGCCCTGCTGTTCTGCCAGCACTGGCATCCAAGGCAGCTTACGATGCTATACAAAGTTTCAAAACAAGATGGAGATGTTGGGAGGACAATGACGGACGACTGTCCTCACCCCAGTCCTGAGGCTGGCTGTGCAGGTTTTTAAAAACATTGCTGTGGCAGGTGGGCTCTTCAGAGCAGGGGTCCCCGGCGTGGGGACCGCCTATGGTTCTTCACGTAGCCCCCTATAAAAAAAAAGCAAGCAAGGTGTGGTTCTCAAGAAGCTGACCTCAGTACATTTTTGCACTTTTGTGGACACTGTCCTGCCCATTCCATTTCCCCCCCCCCAATATTTTGACACAGTCTTTTTTACACTTTGTGCACTTTGGAATCATGGATTTACCGAGATCCATCTGCGGTCTTTTTATGTACCCCTTCTTAGAGAAGAAGACTTCACAAAGACTATGTACCCACCTCTAGAGCTCAGCGACGCCCCTGAGCGGCTCAAATCTGATGGGAAAAAGGTCGACCTCATCTGCGATGCAATGAGAACAGCCATGGAGAAGATCAACGCTCCTAAGTATGAAACCTGTGAATTACTGTACAGTACCTTTATGTATCAAAGCTGGTTCCTGACATTCTGTCATGCTCTAGGATGACCCAAGAATGGGTATCTGGGACAGGAGATAAGAGCAGGCTTGATACTTAATGGCTGGGGTCCTTAGGTTACCTGCATTTGAAGACAGGAACGCACTTCTGAAGATTTCCTCTTCCTCCTGACCTCTTCCCCCTGGGTAGCTGGTGGGGGGAGACATACTGCTTTTGGGCATGAGATGGGAGGAACATGCCCTGCCTCCTTTCTCTGGGTCTGGAGGCCATCGTCTGCTCCTTTGGGCAATGACATCTGTGGTGAATGCGGTGGGTTGGAGAGCTCTCAGTCCTCACCACCTTGCTATCCCAGGCTTTTAGTGGGCAAAGGGATCTTTCTAGATATCAAGTATGTTTTAATTCTGCCCTTCTCAGGATGATATACATGGTGTCCCCTTCCCCTTTCCCCCCCTCATAACAACACTATGAGTTAGGTGAGGCTGAGCAAGACAGTGATTGGGCCTAGGTCACTCATTCATGGCAGGGTGGAGATCTCAGCTCAGATCTTTCAGAGCCTAGTCAGACCCAAACCGCTGTGCTACACTTGTTCTGTGGGATTTAAGCCACCTTCTCTGCTTGGTATTTGTGTTTTTGTGCTGGTGGTAAGTAGGCAAGAGATAGAGCCAGAAATATCTTGGTCTCCCTCCTTGATGGTCCTTTACCTCATTGGAACAGCAGCTGCTGGTGGTCCCCAGCTTAGCCTCAACCAGAGCCAGAGCCTTTTCGGCTCTGGCTTCGGCCTGGTGGAACACTTTCCTGAGTGAGAGCAGGGCCCTGGATGATCTGCTTCAGTTCTGCAGGGCACTGTAAAATGGAGATGTTCCACTGGGCCTTTGGCAGAGGCAATGGGTGTCTCGTTTATTCTGGCCTCCCCTGCTTCACGCCCTGACTTGGTATGTTCAGTGGCTACTGGGAGTGATCGCCCACTGCCCCTTCTTAACCTTGGGCACTTTTATAGACCCATAGGAGCATGCTTCTAGGTATATGGGCCATCTTGGTTGTACTTAATGAGTAAATGGTAGAACTGTAGGACGTTTTTATTGTTTTATCTGTGTTTTTAATTGTTGTGAGCCGCCCTGAGGCCTGTGTTCAGGGAAGAACGGGATAAAAATATAATAAATAAAAAGTGTTGCTTCTGTCAGAACCAGTTCATGAAGTTAAGAGGAGGCAGTTTTCTTTGCAGCCATTTTCACTGAGCTTATTAAAACTCTTCTGGTTTCTCTTGACATTCTTTGGATGTTTTCATCTACAAAGAAACCTTCAAATTCACTTCAGGTTTTGCTTCAGGTAGGATCTAGAAACAATACAGGGATGTTTAGAGAAGAAGAAGAGGAGATTGGATTTATACCCCACCCTTCACTACCCAAAGGTGTCTCAGAGCGGCTTACAAACTCCTTTCCCTTCCCCTCCCCACAGCAGACACCCTGTGAGGTAGGTGGGGCTGAGAGAGCTCTGACAGAAACTGCTCTTTTTCAAGGACAGCTCTTATCAGAACTACGGCTTGCCCAAGGCCATCCAGCCACGTGCAAGTGGAGGAGTGGGGAATCAAATTCGGTTCTCCCAGATTAGAGTTCACGCACAACCACCACACCAAACTGGCTCTTCACCCCCAAGCAATTCTGTTCATCTCCTTGAAACACTGTTTGCTTCCTTTGAAATTCTTTGGCTGCTTCGCTTCAGAATTCCCAAATTTGCTATAATTTTTGCTTTCCATGAAATTTCAGTAGCAAATTGAAATATCCAACCTCAGGCAGGATATTTGTCATGGACAAGTGGGAAAAGCACCAAGAATGCATTGTTTTAAATCTGTCTTTTCTCTCTGTGACCTCTCTAGGTACTGCTTATCAATACTGACCTCACATGTGAAAAAGAGCCCCCCAGAACTCGGGACTGCTCTGCAGGGGATTCGTGAGCTTCGAGGTGCAGTATTAGGACAAAATCTATTAGTCCTGTGGGATTAAAAATGGTGGTCAGTGGTCTTGTATCACGCCCTTTTAGTTTGCATTCACTATTTATTTATCGTACGTCTATCCATCCCTTGCCACAGGGAGCTCAGAATAGCTTACACTGTTTCTCCCTTCCCTATTTTATCTTCATAATAGCAAACAACCCTGTGAGGTAGGTTAGATTCAGAAAGAATGACTGGCTTAAGGTTAACCAGCAAGTTTCATGCCCAGTGTTGATCGGAACCTGGGTCTTCATTCCAACCAGTACACCACTTTTTCCACTGGATAACCCTGCTCACCAGTCATCAGTCATGTCAGGTGGGCTATATGTGGGATATGAATCATGGACAAGTAAACCTCAGTGCTTGTACAGAATTCTGGCTTATACAGGGTGACTTTGCTTTATGTATTATATAAATATTTAAATTATTTATTTAAATTGATTTAAAATGAAATTGAATTTCCCAGAAAATCCACATCACTATCAGAAACTCAACTGTCGTTTCCAGAGGGTGAAGCACCAGCCCATTGCCCTTTTTGTAATATTCTCTGAAGAGAACTCTATTGGGCTTGTGCTCATTTGTTAATTTAAGCAAGCATGTGTATTTCCTGTGACCTGGATAGCCCAGGTTAGCCAGATCCTGTTGCATCCTGGAGCTAAGCAGGGTCAGCCTTGGCTAGTATTTGAAAGGGTGACCTCCAAGGAATACCAGGGTCATGACACAGGGGAAAGGCAAAGGCAAACCACCTCTGAACCATCTCTTGCCTTAAAAACAAGTCTAGCTCGCCACCTAGTGGTGCATAGTGCTAAAACAAGAGCTAGAACTTGTGGTTGCCAGACAATCTTAAGATCTCCTGGCTATTCTACACACAATGCCATGCGATAATTAATTAATGTATATTTTCATATGAAGTTTCCTTTTGCATCATATAGCTCCGTGTGTGTGTTTTGCAAATGAAGCCTGTTTTGTAAAAGATTTTAATTTGAAACTACAGAGCAATCTTCTGAACATACTGGATCCAACAGTGTAGAAGAAGCATTGAAATACCTGCTGTACCTGGTAGATGTTGGTGAATTGTATGATCATTCCCTGGGAACGTACGACTTTGATTTAGTTCTCATGGTTGCTGAGAAGTCTCAGAAGGTAATTTTGTTCCCTCTAGGTTCTTTGCCTACCAATGAGTCACATCTCATTTACTGTGCTCCCCTAGCTGTTGAAAGGAAATCGTCAGAATGTAAAACATGAGCAACAGTTACTCCCACCCAGGGCTATTTTTGGGCAGGAACGCACAGGAACGGAGTTCCGGCTGGCTCCCGAGTTGGCCACGCCCAGCAGAAACTCATTAGCATAACAGACCACACCCAACAGCAGACACTCATTAGGATTGGCTACATTAGGGGTGTGTGGCCTAACATGCAAAAGGTTCCCGCTACAAAAAAAGCCCTGGGTTTTGACAACAAACAAGGTAAACAGAATAAGAAGCAAATGGTGGGCGTGGCTGGATGACCACAGTTCTGGTAGTGTGGGGGTGTGGTCTAATATGCTAATGAGCTGTGCTCTCAGGGGTGTGGCACATTATGCTAATGTGTTTCTGCTGTTGGGTGTGGCCTATTATGCCAATGAGTTCCTGCTGGGCTTTTCTACAAAAAAAGCCCTGCTCCCACCACCACCACCAAACCGCCCAGCACCCATAAACACTCCAGACTGTCCTTTCTGGGCAGTTCTTAAAAACTCTATCTGCTTAACTTTGGATAAGAAGGTGATCAGAATAAATAGGCACTAGGCTTTAGGATGTGTTTGCACCACAGACTTGATACTCATTCCTGTGCCCCCAAGGAGTTCTGGGAATTGTAGTTCTCTGAGGAATTTAGCAGAGAAGTTAGCAACACCTTGCTTGGAAGTAAGTCCTACAGATTTCAGTGGGGCTTCCCACAAAATATGCTTGGTATGGTGAGGATTTTCAGGGTATAAGCTTCCAAGAGTCAAAGCTTTCTTTGTCAGAGCTCCCGTTGACTCTCAAAAGCTTATACTCTGAAAATCTTAAAGACTAACAAAGTATGTTGGCAGAGTATGAGCTATCGTGAGTCACATCTCACTTCTTCAGATACAGCTGGAGTGAGCTGTATCTGAGGAAGTGAGCAGTGACTCACGGAAGCTCACCCCCTGCCACATACTTTGTTAGTCTTTAAGGTGTTACTGCTGGACTCTTGCTCTTTTCTACAGATACAGACAGACGAACACGGCTATCTGTCTTAGGGTTGCCAAGTCTCACCTTGTTCCGGAGTGGGGGACTCCCGGGTCGATCCCGGAGCACACGAGCAAAGCCCGCACGCACCGCATCCACGTCACCAGGAAGTGACGTGACGATGCTGGGCACGCTGGGGGCGGGGCCACGACCATCCGAGGAAAAACCATAGAGTTTTCCCTCGGATGACTGTGGCCCCGCCCCCAGCATGCCCGGCGTGGTCATGTCACTTCCTGGTGACGTGCACGTCGGGGTGGAGTTTCCCCCGGGGCCCGATCTAGCAGCGGCGGGGAACAGGCCTCTAGGGCGGGGGTTTCCCTGCCCCCCGGGGGGACTTGGCAAGCCTAACCTGTCTTGATCTGAAAATCTTGTTGGTCTCTAAGGTGCTGCTGAACTTGAATCTAGCTCTTCTGCTGCAGACCAACACGGCTACCCTCTGAAACTGTTTTTGCAAAATATCCCCTAATTTCATGCTTGCTTGGAAAGTTACACATTTTATTTTTATTTTATTTTATTTGCTTAATTTGTATCCCGCCCTCCCTGCCAAGGCAGGCTCAGGGCGGCTTACAGGAGATATATATGTGTGTGTGTGTTAAAACACAATCAAAACATACAAAATCATAGGTGCTAGTAAGCATAAATGCTAATAACGGCAGCGGTGTTCACTCAGTATCCAAATAGTCAACTGCCATCGTAGTGTGGGTTCTTGCCAGGCTGTTGGTACTGATATTGGGGGGCCAGGGCCACAGTATTAAAAGGCAGCACCCTCATCGATAGCCTGGTGGAAGAGCTCCGTTTTACAAGCCCTGCGGAACTGTAAACGGTCCCGCGGAGCCCTGATATCATCCGGGAGCTCATTCCACCAGTAAAGGGCCGCCACAGAAAAGGCCCTGGCCCTCGTCACGGCTAGCCTGGCTTCTTTAGGGCCTGGAAGGGCCAGACAGTTTTGGGACCCCGATCTTAGTGCTCTCTGGGGAACATGGGGAAAGGCGGTCCCTTAGGTAAGTAGGTCCCTGACCATATAGGGCTTTAAAGGTAAGAACCAGCACCTTGAACCGAATCCGGTATGCTATAGGCAGCCAGTGCAGTGCTTTTAGGGTAGGGTGGATGGGCTCCCGCATAGAAAGACACAACAACAGCCTCGCCGCTGCGTTCTGCACCAGCTGCAGCTTCCGGATTTGGGACAAGGGCAGCCCCATGTAGAGAGCATTACAGTAATCCAATCTCAAGGTGACTATTGTATGAATTTCAGCGGCGGAAGCGCTCTGAAGGTGCTTTTAAAAAAAGGTCACATTGCTTAGATCTTGTCCACTGCTGTTTTATTCCCCTGGCTGCTGCTGTTCTTGGGTGCCATTTTCCTACTTTGTCTTCACTGTCCTTGACCTCATTTACCCTCTGCTACCATTTAATCTGATTGGCTTTCCTGCCTACATGATTTTATTGATGGGATTATGTGATATCTTCTCAGGGATTGTCTTCAGTATCATCTTTGTTGCGCTAACTTTCATTGGTATAGGAATAAGCAAATTTATCCTTGTTTTCTTTGGCACCAGGGCAACAGTTGCCCATTCTTTTCCAGAACGATTAGATTTTACACCATACCTTTCTTATTTGATCTCCTCAGGATCCTAAGGAATATCTCCCATTTTTAAACCAGCTTAAGAAAATGGAACACAATTACCAGCGGTACTCTATAGACAAACATTTGAAGAGGTACCCAAAGGCTCTCGGTCACCTCAGTAAATGTGGTAGGTAGAGATACAGATTTTCCAGAAAATTTGAAGCAATGAGGAAAGAAATATTTTTCCCCCCATTGGGAGTGAGGGGTAGAATGGAAATATGCAGGGAAAAGTGCAATATATGTAATACTTTCTAATCGAACCAAACCTTATTTTGCTGCTTGAATAACATAAAGTTTGTAACTCTATTAGCAGATTTGGCATATTATTAAATTTAAAAGTATGAATGTTTTTTTCCAAATATAAATATACCCACGACTGGAAAGAGAAAGTGGCAAAGTGCTGTGTAAGCACATAGTTCTTAGTTTTTGCCCTCCGAGAAGTGGAAAATAAAAATCTGAAACTACAAACCATCGCTTTTGTAATAAACAAAAGCTGGGTTAATTGTTTGGGCTTGAGAGTCACATTATTTGATTTTAAGACTTATTAGCTGATTTAGCTACTGAGTTAATCTTCATGGTGCTGAGGACACTGGCAAGATACATGATCATTTTGAGATGTACTGGGTTGGATCCTGTGATCTGTTGGTGCAAGGATCACAGATCCCCTCCCACCCAGCGGTTCCTTCCGAAATTGGGAAGGTTGATTCCCAAGGTCATGGGACCCATGCTGACTAACACCCACACAAGTTGAAGGGTTTGTACTGAAGAGAGGGAAGAGGCAAAATTGTTCCCTCTTCCACATGTGCAGTCTCCACTGATGCAGATTGCTGGAGGGTGGTTTTACAGCCCCCCCCCCCCAGTCCATGCTGGTCCTGCAACCCTGGGAATGAACTGGAAGGGACCCCTGCTGAGGGGAAGGGGGAAAAAGGGAAAGATCCTCATCAACAACTTTCATTAACAGATTATTGGATCCAAGCCACAAAATGGATGTGTGGTAGCAATACACTGTTCATTATTAAACGTTAATGACATAAACATGTCCTTGAGAAATGGTGGCATATGTCTACTGTAATGCTGTAGACCATGTTACAGAAAAGTGTTCACGCTATGCAGATCTTAGAAAACATTCTGGATAACTCCTTGTCTTCAGAACTGCTTTACTTGTTGAATATGACACAATATTTTATACAGGGGTTCCTCAGATTTAATACACACAAGTTAAATCATCAGTAAAGTCGTAAGGCATCATATAGGTCCCTATTCAAAAACATGTCGATGCAGGATGGAGATTCTCAAATAATATCCAATCTTTCCCCAGACTTTGAAAATGCTTTTTAGAGATTTCCAACAACCACAATTCACATGATGGAAAGATAAATGGTCCCGGCGACGAGTCATCAACTTGGAACGCCCATTTCACTCCTGGCTTCCTCAAGGTCGGGATAATCTGAAATCAAATATCCAAAGATTTAAACATGGACGCAAAATCTCCACAGTAGTGTCGCATCGATATTACCGATTACTTCAGAGCAGTTCCAGCTTTAGTTTACTGAACCTGTTAGAGGACAGTAGGGCATCAGCATCATAGTTAAAAAATTGTTTTGGCTGAGCACAAACTGAAATGTTTATTCCTGGGCTCCTTAACCCAGTGAACACTGTATTCTGGCACCCAAACTGACCCAGCCAAAACCTGTCCTAGTGGGTCCAAGGATGGCTCAATCCAGTATACACCGTACGTGGCATGTTTGTCCTCACAAGGAAATGTCTTTGATTGCCTTGTCAGGGCCCGAGCATTTTCCAGAGCTCCTGAACCTGGTGAAGGATCAGAGTTTATATAAAGAAGCCCTGAAGCTGTACCCACCCGACACTCAGGAGTTCAAGGTGAGTGAAATGCTGTTCTCCTTAGTGAAGACTTTTAGTATTGATAGGGTTGCCAGGTCCTTCCTGCCAACCAGCGGGGGATGGGGGGGGGGCTTACTGGGAGCAGCAGGGAGGCCCAGCCGACGTGCAGCAGTGTGTCTATATCACTGTCCATGTGACCCAGAAGTGATATCACTTCCTGGTCAGGGCGACACTCTGGTATTTTGGTAAAAACTCTGTGGTAAATTTGGCTTCTAGCATAGAATTTTTGCCCAAAAACAGAGTGTCACCCCAACATCCAGATGTGATCATGTCACATGGTCACGTCACTGCACATTGGAGGAATCTGCCTCTTTTGGGGGGTACGTCCTCTCCTTCCAGCCAGCTGATCGGTGGTGGGGTGGTAGGGCCTGGCAACAGTAAACCCCAGCCTCCACCGGAGGGGGTGGTCTGGTAACCCCACGTATTGAACTGATCTTGCCAGAGCAAGCAGCCTTGTTGTGGTGATGAAGGACCCGTTTCAGGCCTTATTGCTTTCTGGGCAGATAAACTGACACCGTGGCTCCAGGAAAGTTAAAAGCTTAAAGAGAACAGGGTTTTTTTGTTTTGATTGGATCTCTTTTTACGAGATCTCAAGCCACAGAGCCTGGTTTTCAAAGAAGAAATGCATGAAAGGTTCCTCAGCGAGAAGCTCAGGAGCCAGCAGGGCTGAAGATGTTCTAAACTAGGGCCCAACCTTTTTGAGACTTATAGGCAGTGTTGAAATTCTGAGAAAGGGGCGGTATACATGACCACAAAATGGCTACTGCAGGAGACAGAGACAACCGCAAAATGGCTGCCGCAGGAAGTAGACACAAACACAGAGGAAGTCCAAGTGCAGGGAACATGAGGAGTAATACTCTGGGAGAGAGGAGTGTGAGAGAAAATAAAACCAGCAGTGGTGGCAGCGGACACTGAAACAATGTTATTTTAATTGGCATAGCCAGTCAGATCTCCAGTGGCCAATCAGAAGCCCAGCTGGGAAGGAACCCCACCTGGCCCCACCCACTTTCTAAAAACACTTTACATGCTCCAGAAAAGGTGTCACTGGGCGCCATGGCTCTCACAGGGACCACTTTGGGGACTCCTGTCTGAAAGAAAGAATGGTATCTGAACTAGGGTTGCCAAGTCGCGGCGGGAGATCATGTGTCTTTGCAGAATCCGTGCCGCAGGGACGGTGAGATGCATTGCACCCGCCGTCGCCAGGACATGATGCCACACGTCGCTCTGGCAACGGGGCTCCAAACAGCCCCGTTGCCAGAGCGACACGTCGTGTCATGTCTTGGCGACAGCGGTGCAACGTGTCTTGCCGTCCCCGCAGCACGGATTCTGAAAAGACATGTGGATCCCCCGCCGCGATTTGGCGAGATTTGGAAGCCCTAATGTGAACATTCCTGAAAGAGATCTTGCATCCTGCTTCTCATCTCTTTCTGCAATATGCAGCTGTAACGGAATGCTGAGTTTGTGTGCTAAGGGCAATGATGAAGCCCAGTAGTCTGCCCTGTGTCTGCATGCACTTCAGAACATTTTCCAGAACCCTCTGCAATACACAGGGCAAATAAACAGTGGTTCCTCGACAGACAAACCAGTTGTCTAACAGATCGTCATCCGCTCTGCCAGAGCAATCGTCTGTCTTGGTTTCATGGTCCTCAGGTCAGAGAGAAGTGGCAAACATCACCACCCCTCCCTCTCCCCTGGTTTTACTTGATTTGTGACTTTGTCTCACAGGCCATCAGTGATGCCTATGGAGAGTATTTGATCCAGAAGCATCTCGCTGAAGAAGCAGGGCTGATCTTCTTCCGCTGCGGTGCGTTCCAGAAAGCCCTGGACGCCTTTCAGATCAGTGGGAACTGGAAGCAGGTCCTGTGTGCGGCAGCTGAGCTTCATTACACAGAAGACAAGCTGGCCAGTTTGGCAAGGACCATAGCAGGTGAGCATCCATTCTGCAGGATTGGGGGGAGGGGCTGTGGCTCAATGGAAGAGCCTCTGTTTTGTGTTCAGTAGGTCTTAGGTTTAATCCCCGGCATCACCAGTTAAAAGGATCAGGGAGTTGGTGATGCAGAAGGTCTCTCCTTGAGACCTTGCAGCGCCACTGCTCGTTGGAGTTGACCGTACTGACCTTGACAGGTTAAAAGTCCAACACAGCAGATGGCAGCCTCATGTGTTCTGATGTACATGTTCAAGATACCTTTCAGTTTTCACAGCTGTCCAGACTGAATGTCACATCCAAGTATTTGCCACTCATTTGTTTTATCTTTGGGTGCCAGTTTGGTGTAGTGGTTAAGAGAGACAGACTCTATTCTGGAGAACTGGGCTCGATTCTCCACTTGAAGCAAGTGACCTTAGGCAAGTCACAGGACTCTCAGCCTAAACAAATAAGCATAGCTCGCCACCTAGTGGTGCCAAAAAAGAGCTACAGTTTCGGCAGCCAGACAATCCTCCTGGATTTCCTGGCCGTTCCACCCACAATGCCATACAATCATTTCAATTTTTTTGTTTTATCTTTACAACTTTATAATTCACTTTCCATCCTCCCTCAAAATGGTCACCGTAATGTACAGGAACAGGAAACACTGAGATGTTGTTTGTTCAAAGGGCTGTTTCTCTAGCAACATTAGCGTGTGTGATGCTTTATAAAATAACATAATCCAAGAGAGGTCGTTGCCCCAAAGAACTTATAACCAAAATTTCAATAAAAAGGTAGGTCCAAGGAGCAAAAAGAGAGAAACGGGCTGAATGTGGGCTAGGGCACTTGTCATTGTTTTGGTGTACACATGTTTTGCATGTGTAGATACGAATACAGGTGAGACGCAAAACAAGTTGCACTCCACCAGCCATGTTATGGCAGCTGGTCATGGTCAATAAACTTCAACCAGAAGGGCAAGAATTGTGGAACTAGTTCAGACCTGCTTTCCTGTTCAGACCTGCTTTCCTCAAACGTCCTGCTCCATGGCACATAGCAAGCTGCTCTTGAAACTGAGAACTGTTTCAAAATGAGGGTGTGTTACAATTTGGGGGTTCAGCTAGCCACAAGAAGAAAAGCGGTATCCTGCCAAGGTTAGCTCAAGGCCCCTGTACGGATCCCAGCAGTCCTCTGTTTGCTACCTGTCTAGATCAGCAAAATTGGGAACTGTCTTTACTCAAATGGTGGTGGGGGCAGAGGTTCCCTCAATTTTGGGGGGCCCAATCCTCTGCTGGCCAGCTGGCCAACGGGAGGAATCCCACTGTGCCCAATATGCCTGGCGCGATGATGTCACCTGGCGGTGACGTCATTGCGCTAGGGACACTCTAGCATTTGGCTAAAAACTCTATGGTGACTATAGAGTTTTTAGCCAAATGCTAGAGCATTCCCTATACAATGTGCCCAGTGCAATGACATCACTTCCAGGTGATGTCATTGCAGCGCACACGCCGGAAGACCCTGGGACCAAGCCAGGAGTCCCCCACTAAGACCTGGCAAACCTAGGCAGAAAGCATGGATTTGGTGAGTCTCATAATTGCTTTCCTGCAATGATAGCACAGTATCTTACAGGATGAAGATGCAGCTGAGTATCAGAATGTGCCTGCTATGTCCAAAGATCTTGGATACAGTGGAGGGGGAGACAACAGTGTTGTAAGCAACTTTGGGTCCCCATTGGGGGGGAAAGCAGGGTATAAATACCTCAATAAACAAGTAGGAATAAAACTTTTCCCTTGGGGAGATAACAGGTCCAGAGCATGGGCCTCTTACCCTCACCACAGGAAGGAACTGTGTCAGCCAGGAGATGCTATACACTTGCATCTTTGGCATGGGAATGTGAGAGCCCAAATTTCCGATCCCTGGCTAGAATCTTTGTGTCAAATAACTGAGTAGGCCCCTGGAAACAAAAGAGTTTGCAGCCAAGGAACCTCGTAGTCACAAATAGGGCTCTGACATCTTGCATGGTCCCCAGGCTCTTCCGCCATTCCTTCTTCTGTGACTCATCCGCACCCAGTCTCCACGTCGGCTCTTCCTCCCCTCTTCATTTCCTTCCTTCTTTCCTCGCTCTTATGTTTTGACAAGTCCTCGCCCCCTTCCCCCAAGTTCTTTGAAAGCGTGATCAGTGGAGCCAGAATGGGTGATGCAAATTTAATCTAGGTAATGATTTCCATTTGCATAATTCTATGCAAAGAGAGCCAGGGTTGCCATGGTGTAGAATTGATATGCTCTGGTAGAGAGAAGACAGTTGCAGCTTGCATTAATGTGCAGCACTCTGTGGGTTTCAGACCAGATGAATGAATGAAATCTCCTGCTTTATAACTCGATCTAACCTTGGGGACAGTTTCTTAAAGATGGGCAGGTGCTTGTGTACAAGGTGGAAGACAGAGCAGTCCTTATGTTCAAATGATGCGCAGGCAGAACTTGGTTCATCCAATACATGATTTGTTTACCTATCTGTCTGCATGAAATGCTCTCCTTTTGTTTAGGGAAATGCATTGAGAAAAGAAAGTTTGGGGATGCAGCAGTACTCCTGGAACAATATGCCAAGGTATAGTGCTATTTCCCACCCCCCACTCCCTTTGTGCTACTTATCCAGATTCCCATCTTAGAGATTATTTCCTCCAAGTTTCCTTTGTCGGTCTGGCTGCACACTAGGCTTCTGGCAATCAGGGGGTTGGGATCCAACCATTGAAACCATTGTAGCCAGCTCCCATAGTCCTATCAAATGCCATCTCAAAGTATATTAAAAATAGGGTTGCCAAGTCAAAAAAACTCACCGGTGGGGGAGCCTCGCTGGGCTCCGGGAGCCGTCCTCGGATGCGTGCGCACCGCCAGCGCATCGTCGATCACGTTGGGGGCGTGGCCCGGATCGACATGGTTGCGTCACCTCCGGTGATGCAGCCACGCTGCGCTTCGGGAGGCGGAGTTCCCCCCAGGGCCCGATTCCGCCCCCCGCCGCCCCACTTGGCAGCCCTAATTAAAAACCAACATTTCTGCAATTTCATTCCATGGTTTGTAATCCTTTGCTTTTGGTTTTTGATTGCAACACTGTGGATAAGTTCGTTTGCTTGCAGGCGGTCTGTAATTACAAGTCCATGCTTCAAGATGGCCCTGACTCTTTCTCTGCCGCCATCAGAGCATTTTGCCTGTGGGGCAGACCAAAATTCCAGTGCTCTGCCCACCGTCTAGAGAAGAGTGTCCCCAGAAAATACAGGACATGGCCATCTCTGCTGCGAGCACAGGACCGCTGTGTGTGATTATTTGGGGGCAGGGAGGTTGCGCAGATTGGGTCTGCACATGCAAGGCTTATTGCTTGAAGCGCTTGCATTGCCCACGATCATTGAGGAGGAGGGAGAGGAGAGCACATGCTGCCTCCGTGACAGCTGACAGACTGGGTGAATGTCGACCCTAGTCCTTAGAAGGGCAACCCTGTGCACGGTGACTCCACTCTAAGCCCATTGATTCCAGTGGGCTTCGACTGGAATAACTCTGCAAAGGACTGCGAGGCTGGCCTGTCTGCTAAGTGGTCCTAGGTGATCGCCTAGGGCACCAGAGGAGAACGGGCAGCAAACAGGCCGCCCCACTGCCAGCCGGCCGGCCTCGTCAAAGCCTCCGACGGCAAGCAGCAGCCCAGAAGGTGCCCCCGGCCTCAGAGGGCGGCCGGCAGGAAGCCTGCTCTTTCCCACCCTCCCTCACTTCAACAGGAGGATAGGGGCTGGCCCTTTCCCTCATCGCTGTGGTTCGGGGTGGCGAGGAAGTCGGTGGTGGCTTCCTTCTGCTCCACTGGATGGGGGGGCAGTGAGGGGGCTTTGCCTTGCAGTGCACTGGACAAGGGAAACAGGCAGGTGTTGCTTTGCCACCGTTCACAGGGCAAAGAGAGCAGGCAGTGCCTTCCCCCTACCCCGCAGCATGGTGCCAAGGCGGTTTGCACACCCCAACCTAGGGTGCCCAAAAGCTTTGGGCCCAGTCCTGAAGGACTAAACCATCCGGCTTGCAATCCTCCCTTCTTGCCTTGACACGGATAGCTCAGGCAAGCCCAGTCTCGGAAGCTAAGCAGGGGCCGACCCTGGCAAGTAATTGGAAGGGGGACCTCCAAGGAATACCAGGGCCGGGACGCAGAGGCAGGCAATCAGGCCACCTCTCTGAAATCTCCAAACCCCACTAGGAGTTCCTAAAAGTAGACCATGACTTCCAGGCATGCAAACGTGCACACACGCACACACACGAGAACCTCCCTTCTCCCTTTCCAGGGAGAACGATTAGCCAGCAGAATGTCAGTGAATGCTTTCCTTCCTCTTCTCCAGGATTACGAAGAGGCCATCCTCATCCTCTTGGAAGGGACTGCCTGGGAGGAAGCACTGAGATTAGTAAGACCCTTTGCAAACTGCCACCTCCCTTCCCGTTAAGTACCAGCTGGAAGGGCTGGTGTTCATCGCTTGGTGGCAGTTCTGATGCCGGTTCTTTCCCCTCCCCCTTTCCCTCTTGCAGATTTACAAATACAACAGAGCGGACATTGTGGAGACCAACGTCAAGCCAGCTCTGCTAGAAGGTAAGGCTCCCCTGTGTTTGCTCGGGAGCTTCTGGATGTACAAGGCTAGCCAGGGATCCAGGAGATGAGCAAATTTTATTTTAGTCCTGTGGGTAAATTGTGGGGATTGAGATTAGTGCCGGTGTAATGTAATGGTCAGGAGCTGCGGTGGCTCAAGTGGTTAAGACGCTGAACTGCAGGCTGTGGAAGGTTGGTCGTTCAGCAGTTCGAGACCTGAGTGTGCCGCATGACGGAGTGAGCTCCCGTCTCTGGTCCCAGCTCCTGCCAACCTAGCAGTTCGAAAGCAAGAAATTGCAAGTAGATAAATAGGTACCACTTCAGTGGGAAGGTAACAGCGTTCCGTGCGCCTCGGTGTTTAGTCATGCCGGCCACATGACCACGGAAACATCTTCGGACTGCGCTGGCTCTTCGGCTTTGAAACGGAGATGAGCACCGCAACCCTAGAGTCGGACTCGACTGGCTTTCGAGCAAGGGAAACCTTTACCTTTACTTTAATGTAATGGTCAGAGCGTTTGCTGCCATTATAGTGTAGTGTAATGGTTAGAGTGTCAGACTTGGATTCCCCGAGGCCCTGGTTGGAATCCCTGCTCTGCCATGGGTGTCTTTGCATCAGTTACGCACCCTCAGCCTAACCTACCTCACAGGGTTGTTGTGAGGATAACATGGAGAGAAAGACGATTTCAGCCGCTTTGGGGTCCCCATTGGGGAGAGAGGTGGGATATAAATAAATAAATAAATAAATAAAATATGATGTGGCAGTGTTATGAATTCACCTTTTACTTGGGGAGACAGTGCCGCAGTGGCATATGGTTCTTGTTGTACCACTTCAGGCTGCCGATGGTGCATCTGTGAATGCTTTTCATGTTTTGTTTTTTTAAGAATCCTCTCCAAGTCTCCCTCTAAGCTGTGGAGTCTTGTGAGCAAAAATTCTCCTTTGTGAGCTACTGGCATTGAAGTTGTGAGTCGGCGATTTGGCTACTGCATAAATTAATTTGCTCTGGAGCCATCCCTTCCTGAACTAAGACAAAAATGTGTGAGCCGGAGGCTAAAAAACTGTGAGCTAGCTTAGAGGGAACATTGATCCTCTCCCTGTGCATGGAAAGCTACTATGTCAAAGGAAAAGGCTAGGCTAAAACTCTGCTTTCTAATTGTTTTGCTCTGCTTCTGAATGGCCCATGGGCCATAATAAAGACCGAACCGAACTGCTTCCTGATACACTAGTTTTTCACATTCAGGATTTCTCTTTTTAACACAAAAGGCAACGTAACCTGACAACCCGTCTGATGCTGGCACAGAGGTATTCCTCATGACGCTGGGTTTGTCAAACCTTTCCTTGCTGACCTCACCCTGTCGTTTCGTAACTGCGGGCAGCAGATTCACAACAGACAAAAGCAAAGTCTTCTTCACTTGACAAGTGATTAATTTGTGGAATTCGCAGCCCGTGGACATAGTGATGGCCACAAGTATAGCAAGGGTCTGAGAGGATTCTTGGAGCTACTGGCCATCAATAGCTACTAGCAGTGGTGACTAAAGGGAACCTCCATATTCAGAGGCAGTCAGCCTCTGAATCCGTGTGCTAAGAAGTAATATCAGAAGAAAGTCTATGCCTCTATCCTGGTTGTTTTTTATTTATTTATTTATTTTTATCATTCGATTTCTCGCCCTCAGACCCAGCTAGTTAGCCACTGTGTGAAAGAGGATGTAGATGGACCACTGGCCAGATCCAGCAGGACTCTTATAGAATCATAGAATCACAGAGTTGGAAGGGGCAATACAGACCATCTAGTCCAACCCCCTGCCCAATGCAGGACCAATCTAAAGCATCTCTGACAAAAGCTGTCAGTGAAGGGGAGCCAACCACCTCCCTAGGCAGCTGATTCCACCTTTGAACCACTCTGACAGTTGTAAAGTTTTTCCTAATATCCAGCCGGTACCTTCCTGCCCTTAATTTAAACCCATTGCTTCGGGTCCTATCCTCTGCTGCCAACTGGAACAACCCCCTGCGCTCCTCCAAATGACAGCCTTTCAGATATTTAAAGAGAGTAGTTATGTCCAGTGTTCCCTCTAAGCTGAGTTAGAGTGAGCTAGCTCACAGTTTTTTATCCTCCAGTTCACACATTTTTGTCTCAGCTCAGGAAGGATGGCTCCAGAGCAAACTAATTAATGCAGGAGCCAAATGGCTTGCTCACAACTTTAATGCCAGTAGCTCACAAAGTAGATTTTTTTGCTCATGAGACTCCACAGCTTAGAGGGAACATTGGTTATGTCCCTCCTCAATCTCCTCTTCTCCAAACTAAACATTCCCAAGGCCCTCAGCCTTTCCTCGTAGGGCTCAGTCTCCAGACCCCCATCATCCTCGTCGCTCTCTTTTGCACCCACTCCATTCTGTCCACATCCTTTTTGAAGTGAGGCCCTTGAGGGTTTGAGTATAGAGTGGAAGGTGGAACTTTCAACATGTTAAGCGATGCAGGGGCAGGATTTCATTACTTAGATATGATGAATACGATTCCTTCATTCCATGGATAACGTAACGTCTTTTCCCATTGTTCTCACTGCTTTAGCCCAAAGAAATCATTTGGCATTCCTGGAAACTCATAAAGTGACATTTTCTCGCCACCAGAAGCGCCTCTCAGTCGTCCGGAAACTGAAGGAGCAAGCCCGAAACGAACTGCAGGGTATGTTCAGTGCTAATTAGTAGAGTTCCTGGGCAAATCAATGAATCGGGAGTCTGTGGAGGCTGCTGGACTCAGATCCAGAAGACTAAGAAAGCAATCCTAAGCAGATCTCCTCAGAATTCTCCTCAGGTCTATTCAGTGAGGCTTACTCCCAGGAAAGTGTTTTTATGATTGCACTGTGAGGTACAGACTGGAGCTCTGAAGCGAGCTTGGTTTCCTCTGAGGTTCAGGCCACAGCACCCATGCTGAGTGACCCTGGAAAGTCACTTTTTTCTCAGCTTCGGCCTGCCAGTTGAAGTTCTCCTTTGCCTACTTTTTGGAGTCGCTTTGAAGAGAAATGAAGGAGGGGATTGTCAAGCATTATGTCCTCTCAAGGTGTTCTAGAATTAATAAGAAGCTGACAGGGGAAAAAATAACCAGAAAAATTTGGGAGGAAAGGTGACGTCATTCCTTCTCCTGCTGATCATTTTTCGCAGATCTGGAAGCCCCACACGGCCCTGAATCAGACCTCTTTTCTGATGCCAGCAGCATGGTGACAGCCAGTGAAGCAAGTTCCAAATATTCTCACAGTAACTCAAGAATATCTGCGTACGTATCTTGTCCTCATGGTCCCTTCTAACCTGCCCATTTTGCTTTTCTTGTGGCGTGTTTTGGAATTAAGTCTGCCCTGACTGTCTCCTTCAGATATGATGGCTGTGGCAGGTTATCTGTTGGGGGAATCCCCTGTATCAAGGTCTCCCAAACTTGGTGGGCCTATGGGCACTTTTTGGAATTAGGACAACAGGTGAGGGTGCCCTCACAAAATGGCTGCCACAGGAGTGGGAACTAGTCACAAGATGGCTGACACAGGAGCTGGGTTAAATCACAAAATCTTCAGAGATTTCACAAACTGTTGGGAATTTGTGCACTAAGAATTCTGCTGTCACGGGGGTAGCTGTTTCCAAATGGCTGCTCCCTGTAGACACAAAGCATCTCCTACTTAGGGTTGCCAACCGCCAGGTGGTGGCTGGAGATCTCCTGCTATTACAACTGATCTCCATGTGACAGAGATCAGTTCTCCTGGAGAAAATGGCCGTTATGGCATTATACCCCACTGAAGTCCTTCCCCTCGCCAAACCCCGCCCTCTGCAAGCTCCACCCCCAAAATCTCCAGGTACTTCCCAACCTGAAGCTGGCAACTCTACTCTGATTCCAGTTTAAGTGGGAGAAAACCAGGACTGGCTCCTGGCTCTTTGCTTTGGGGAAGCAATTTGGAGGAGAAGCTAGTAGACACAAGGAAACACACTGGTGGGTACCGTGATTCCCATGAGCACCACATTGGAGATCACTGTTCAGATGTCCCTGTCTGGATCTGGGCATTGGGCAGCCTTTATCCCAAAAGTACTCCCCTCTGGCCACTAGTGTGGCTACATAAACATTTAGCCTAAATGTCACACGTTGCCACAGAGACGTATTCCGCATTCTAAAAGATACTCATAGAGGAATGTATGCATTATCTTGAGCACAGCCAGGTGCATATACGCCATAGATATGCTTTCTATGCCTTTGCTAGGAGATGCTGCTGAATTTATATGGTCTTCTTGACCACACATGAAAGGTTTGGACTGTGTGGCTGAATATACTTGTCTGCTCCTGGACCAGAGGTTCTCAAGAAACATTCAGTCATGAGCGAGATCCCACCTGCAGAGTGAAGTGGTACAGCCCAGACTTGGTTTACCACCTCAGTGGCAGCTAATTTGACCAACTCATTTGGCCTACATGAAGGGAGTCAAGCGCTACTCAATAGGCCTTCTCACCCTGATTTCCCTCTTATCTCCTCCGCTCCAAAGCCACCACGATTTGCTTTGCTGTCTGTGTTAATGGGGGTGTTTCATCCACTATAGACGTTCTTCAAAAAACCGTCGCAAGGCAGAACGCAAAAAACACAGCTTGAAGGAAGGGAGCCCCCTGGAAGACGTTGCCCTCCTGGAGGCTTTAGGGGAAATCGTCCAGAGCATCGACAGCTTAAAAGGTTGGTCAGTGCAGTGCAGTTCTCTGAGCTTAGCGTTAAATCTGAAGGAGAAGACAACTGATCCTAGAGAGAGAGGAGTAAGAGCTAATGATCGCCTCCAGAGAGAATCTAAGAAGCAAGGCCCAAGGTCACCCAGTGTGAGAGCCAGTTTGGTGTAGTGGCTAAGAGCGTGCACTCTAATCTGGGAGACCCGGGTTTGGTTCCCCACTCCTCCACATGCAGCTGCTGTTATGACCTTGGGTCAGTCACAAGTTCCCTCAGATCTGTTCTCTCAAGAGCAGTCCCCAAAATAGCTCTCTCAGCCCCACCTACCTCACAGGGCATCTGTTGTGGGGAGGGGAAGGGAAGGAGATTGTAAGCCGCTCTGAGACTCCGAATAAGGGCAGGGTATAAATCCAGTCTCCTCCTCTGCTTCTTCTTTGACAGAGTAGGGATTTTAACATCTCCCAGCCCTTAGTGCAGCACTCTAACCACAGCATCACACCAGCTCCTAGAACATACATATCCAAAGATGCCCTCTCAATCATCCGGTAATTTGGTGTCCAAAAATTCTTGGATGCCTAAGTGTGGAGGAGACAAACACCCAACTTTAAGACACTGCAAGAAGCTGGGGGCAGTGTTCAGGAGCAGACCTTCTGTTGTCGGTCTTATCGTCCCACGAACGTAAATCTTTCCAGTGTGGGACTGGGGGCAGGGCTTTAAAAGCATTCTGAGTCCCGCTAACTGGACTGGATTTCAAGTTGTCATTTCTTCCTCTTTGGACCTGGAAAGTAGTCAGACCTGTAGTCAAAATATTGTGTGGATGTAGCCTTGTAGGTGAAGAGGGGTAGTCCCTCTGAAACAGCAAAAAGCCTATCCATAAGAAGTCTGGTCACTTCGTGATCATTGAACAGAATACTGGAAAGCAAGCACAGGTTTATTTCTTACTGAGCCGCTGGGTAGAATGTTGTCTAAAGTCTTTTTGTCTCATGAGCAAGAGGGCCCTGGTTGTTGTTGTTGTTTTAAATAAAGATGAAAACTGAAAATGCATGGAAGAGCCCTTGAATATATTCTCCCAGGGGACCCGGTCCTACAGGCCTCCCCCCAGGCCTATGGCCACAGAAAGGAATTGCACATTCATTATGGCCATGCCTAGGAGGGATAAGCTTGAGATCTTTGAGAAATGGCACCTTTACAGACTTTATCACCCCCACACTCAAAGCAGCACGGTTTTAAATCTATGATCCCTGGAGCATCTCGTTCCTTCCTCAGGTGAGGTGCACAGCCTTTTGAAGTATCTGGTCCTCTTTGGCTATGATGGACAAGCCCAGGAGCTGCAGCAGGCATTTCAGGAGACCCTTCACTCGGTGGAGCACTCCCTTCCTGAAATCTGGAGTCCCGCGCTGCAACCGTTCCCAGCCAGCCCAGTAAGAATCTTCTGTAGGGTTGCTTAGCACTGGTTTGGGGTGGGAGGGAGCTCTCCAGGAGTGTGGGGGGTGGGGTGATGTTGCCACAAATGATGCCCCCCCCCCGTGATGATGTCACATGGAAGTAACGTCATCATGCCAGGGGAGGTGCACGGCAACGGTCTGGTATTTTGGGCAAATCTCTATGGTTGCCAGTAGCCACCTTGGACCCAAGCGAGATCCAAACACATTTTATTAAGACCAGCCAAAACGACACAAAACATTGTTCTCCACAACTCTTCGTCACTCTAGATCAGGGGTGGCCGAACGTCTTTAACGGAAGAGCCACACAGAATAAACGTCAGATGTTTGAGAGCCGCAAGACATGAACAGATATTGCACACACGTTTTTATTGGGAAATGTGCAGATTTGCTTTTTATTAACATTAAATGAGACTGCCAAAAATAAACACAAAAGGGGTAAAAACAGATACTGATAACTGATATTTATTGGTCCAATTATATTTGTTTGCTAATGATATTTATTTGTCTGAGAGAGAGAGAGAGAAAGAGAGAGGTGGAAAGAAAGAAAGAGGTAGAAAGAAAGGGAGAGAAAGCAAATAGATGAGGAAGGAAGGGAGGAGGAAAGGAGAGAGAGAGGAAGGAAGGGAGAAAGAGAGACAAGAGAAAGGTGGAAAGGAAGCAACTTTAACTTTAGATGCATCCTCCAAGCCTCCCCCCTCCCGCCCCAATGCCAGCTGGCTTGGTTTGGAGAAGGGATTTAAAGAGACAAATGCCTTCTCCAAGCTGACTGACGTGGGGGGCTTTAAGAACGCATTTAAAGTTAAAGTTGCTTCCTTTCTCTGCTCCCCCCCCCCCACCTCAAGCCTACCCAGGGATGGGAACACTGGCTGAGGAAGGGAAGACCAATTGGGGAGGCATGCCTCCCCTTCGCTTCCCCTGACAGGAGCCGCACAATATGTGTGAAACAGCCGCATGTGGCTCCCGAGCCGCAGTTTGGCCGGCCCTGCTCTAGATGTTACAAACCAAAAAGGCAGGAGTGGGAAGACACATATTTCCAGACCTGTGTTAATGACTGTGTGTGCATCCCATAAGATGTCTGGGATGCTCATGGCCAGTGTTCCCTCTAAGCTGAGTTAGTGTGAGCTAGCTCACAGTTTTTTAGCCTCTGGCTCACACATTTTTGCCTTCGCTCACGAAGGATGGCTCCAGAGCAAACTCATTCATGCAGTAGCCAAATCACTTGCTCACAACTTTAATGCCAGTAGCTCACTAAGTAGAATTTTTGCTCACAAGACTCCACAGCTTAGAGGGAACATTGCCATGGCATGTTGGGAAAAGCAATATAAAGCAGAAATGTCCCATTGAAATATCTCACCTTCTTAAGAGTTCTACAGCCCACAGTGGTTTGCACCACCAAGAATCAGATGTATATAAGGGGACACTGAGTTTCCTCAAAACAACTGAAGAAGACTTTGCAGGGACAGTGAATCTGTTGGTGAGGAAGGCTGATCTCCTCATGAGTATGCAGCAGTTGGGGAAGGAGAACAAGGAAGCCAAAAAAGTTGGTGCCTTCCAGAGGGACTGACCTTGCTAGTCTGTTACAAGAAGAACCAAGAAAAGAAAAAGAGTATTTGTGGCACCTTAAAATCTAACCAGTTTATCGTGGCTTAAACTTCTGTGGACTTTGTCGGTTGCGTGCAGTGTGTCCTCAGCATCATGCATCACACAGAACAATAACTTCCTTCTAGTGATTTATTAAGGACTAAGAAAAAGATATTTTTTAATTTGTTCTCGATGACTTTGTAGTTTCTGTGCCACATTAATTCCTGAAAGGAATCTCCAAAGAAGCTGGATTCTTCAATGCTTCTCCAATCTAGGGTGTCCGTATCGTGATATTGCCGCACAATGGATGCCAAAATTGCTGCCTTTCTATAACTTTCTAGATCGGGAGTCGCTAGACCTCCATCTCTTCTTGGCGTTATCATAGTGCGATAGGTTATCCTTGCTGGTTTCTTCTGTAGTCACCACCTCCAAAAAAAGGTCTTCTAGCTAAACTATATAAAATCGTCGTTTCCACTCAAATCCCCAAACAACACAATTACCAAAGAGCTTGGAATGCGGACCTGAGGAATCCATTATCGGAGGATCAGTGGGAGGAAATTTGGCGTTCCCAAAGAACCTTGTCAAGAACTCTCGGTGTACAAGAATCGAACCTGAAAATTCTTACTAGGTGGCACTTGACTCCCGCAAAACTAACCCATATCTACTCATCGACATCACCATACTGCTGGAAGAAATGTGGCCAAAAGGCGGATTTCTATCATAATTGGTGGTCCTGTAAAGTAATACAGAAATTTTGGTCACAAATATGTACCAGTATCAACAAATTACTAAATATAGACTTACCTTTATCTCCGGAGTTGATGCTTCTCCATCTCTGGCCGCAAGTTCGTCCACCTGAAGACACAAAGAAATTAGTTAACTTGTTGGTAGTAGCAGCAAAAATAACTATAGCTAAGAACTGGAAAAGCAAAAACGCACCGACTATAGCTCAATGGATTAATAAAATTTGGGACATGTTCATGTTAGAAAATATTTCAATATACGACACGGAAATAAAAACCGAACGGGAGTTCTATAACCCTCTAAACATTTGGAATCCTATTTTAGGAAAGCATGTCCTAGATAACTTTGAATGGGAAAGCATGTTGTTGTTGTTGTTCAGTCGCACAGTCGAGTCCGACTCTTTGCGACCCCATGGACCAGCTCCCTCCAGGCCTTCCGGTCTTCCGCCATCCTCTGAAGTTTGCTCAACTTCATGTTCGTTGCATCGATGACACTGTCTAACCATCTCATCCTTTGCCGTCCCCGTCTTCTTTGACCTTCAATCTTTCCCAGCATCAGGGTCTTCTCCAGTGAGTGCTCCCTTCTCATTTGGTGGCCAAAGTATTTTAGCTTCAGTTTCATTATCTGGCCTTCCAGGGAACAGTCAGGGTTGATTTCTTTGAGGATTGACTGATTTGTTCTTCTTGCAGTCCAAGGGACTCTCAAGAGTCTTCTCCAGCACCATAGTTCAAAAGAATCTATTCTTCTGCGCTCGGCCTTCCTTATAGTCCAACTCTCGCAGCCATACATGACTACTGGGAATACCATTGCTTTGACCATGCGGACTTTTGTTGGCAGGGTGATGTCTCTACTTTTTATCATGCTGTTTAGGTTCGCCATCGCTTTCCTCCCAAGGAGCAGGCGTCTTTTAATTTCATGACTGCTGTCACAGTCTGCGGTGATCTGGGATCCCAGGAACGTGAAGTCTGTCACTACTTCCACGACTTCCCCTTCTATTT